TGACAGCCCTAAAAATGCTTTGTTCTCGTCTTCCAGTACAAGTACCAGGTGAACGTGGACGGGACGGTAGCGGCCTACAGGTTTCCGTACCTGATGCTGGGGGACAGCTTGGTCTTCAAGCAGGACTCGCCGTACTACGAGCACTTTTACACGCATCTGGAAGCAGGTGTGCACTACATCCCTGTGAAGAGAGACCTGTCTGACCTCCTCCAGAAGATCCGATGGGCTCAGGTACGAACGCTGACATCACGTGCATCTTACAGTGGCAACATTGCAAAAGCTGTGTATTGTTTTGTGAGCACACACACACTTGTGGTTTGATATATGCAGAAGAATGACACAAAAGCAGAGGCCATAGCGAAGAGCGGACAGTCGCTGGTGAGAGATGTGCTTCAGCCTCACAGACTCTACTGCTATTACTACAGCGTGCTTCAGGTAAGAGCCTGTCATTTATATACACATACACTACCGCTCAAAAGTTTGGGATCAGTAAGACTTGTAATGTTTTTAAAGAAGTCTCTTCTGCTCGTCAAGGCTGCATTTATTTGATCAAAAATACAGAAAAAAAACCGTAATCTTGCAAAATGTTATTACAATATAAAATAATGGTTTCTATTTTAATATCCTTTACAATATAATTTATTTCTGTGATCAAAGCTGTATTTTCAGCATCATTACTCCAGTATAAAGTGTCACATGATCTTCAGAAATCATTCTAATATGCTGATTTATTATTAGATTATCAGTGTTGTGCTGCACAATATTTTTTGGGAAACTGCGATATTTTTTCAGGATTCTTTGATGAATAAAAAGTTAAAAAGAACAGCAAAAGATTTCTATTTTAAATAAATGCTCTTCTTTTTAACTTTTTATTCATCAAAGAATCCTGAAAAAAAGTAGGTTCCAAAAAAATATGAAGCAGCACAACTGATAATAAATCGGCATATTATACTGATTTCTGAAGATCATGTGACACTGAAGACTGGAGTAATGATGCTGAAAATACAGCTGCACATCACAGAAATACATTAGATTTTAATGTATATTAAAATAGAAAAAGGTTATGTTACATCATAATAATATTTCACCATATTACATTTTTCCTGTATTTTTGATCAAATAAATGCAGCCTCGATGACTAGAGTAATGATGCTGAAAATACAGCTTTGATCACAGAAATAAATTACAGTTTACAATATATTCAAATAGAAAAACTTTATTTTACATCATAGTAATATTTCACAATATTACATTTTTCCTGTATTTTTGATCAAATAAATGCAGCCTTGATGAGCATAAGAAACTCCTGAAAAAAACATTAAAAATCATTCTGATCCCAAACCTTTGACCGGTAGTGTATATATATATATATATATATTAGGGGTATAACTGAACACAAACATGACGTACCTCGGTTTGACGTCACGGTTCGGTATGGTTTCGGTACAGCAGGGGGAAAACTAAACATAAAATTCATTTTTATTTTTATTTGAATTATTAAACAGTTCAATTATAACAAAAATGTTCTTAGGGATAAAAATGACCTCAGCTTATGTGCTAAACTACAGCCTTTTACATTACTAAAAAATGCTGTTTCAACCCAACTGTGGGTCAAATATGGACTAACCCAACTTTTGGGCTAAAAATTGAATGTAAAAATGTAACCCAACAGCTGGGTTAGTCCATATTTGACCCAAAGCATTTTTTAGAGGTTAAACTTAAATTACTATTTATTTTTAAATATAATAATATACAGTAAATATAAAACAATAAGCACTCAACTTATACAGGTAATAACAGGTCAAATATGATGAGTATATAGTCTAATATTTCACGAAATTTGAAAGTTTGAGCTGAGGCGTTTATACAGCGATCTTCAAAGAGCGTCAAAACATTTATTATTTGAATTTCATGAAAAAAATGTTACATAATTTGAAAGATGAGACTTTGTTTCTTGTCAAAAGTAACAATATATCAAACTGGACGTTTCCAGTATATATATATATATATATATATATATGTATTGCTGAATATTTTATTTATATTATTATTTATTTATTTTATTTCAGATTTGAGCTTATAAAACAGTCAACAACTTCATATTTTTCAACTAAAACCATATTGTATCTGAGCAAGAAATTCTCATTAATATGCAAAAATGTGGATATTTTTGGACATGACTGTTATTGCCATGTTATTACTACATTGAACACCCTTTTTACTTAATGAATAAAAAAAGTAGTTGATATTTTACCACTGTAAGATGTTTTTTCAATATTTATGAGAAATTTTATTTGAATATATCTTTACATTAATTTTTAAAAATTATTAACCTCAGAATTACCAGCATTAACTTCATTGAAATCAGTTGAATTCCTTGCCGCTCGAAACCAGTCCAAGTTTATGAAACCTACATATTATTTTTCTAACAAAATTTCAAAATTGTTGTTTTCTAACAAAAAGCCCTGTTGTTCCTTTGTTTATGTTTATAGTGTCTTTTATAGTGTCATTGTATGTGCATATTCAGGCTACATATAATTTATGAAAGTATTTTTGAGACAAATCTAACCGAAAAATGTAAAGCTTCAGTCGATTGCTGGCTGGGTCACAATATACCTAGAACACAAAAGAGGTGTTACAATGTACAATATAATGATTACATTTCTTAAAAAGTAAAATATGCAGAAAATGTATGTTTTTTTTATGTAACATAATTATGTTGGTCATAACCCATTTACAAGGTTTTGTTTCAGTACTAAAAACAACTGTCCTGAATGCAATGCACCCGTTTCACGACACGTTTAACGCTCATCAGCATTGAAAATCCTATAAAAATAAAAATGTGAAAAAGGTCTATAGGTTAAATGCTTAATGCACTCAAAAAGGATTCTTGCATGACAGTATGTCTGCAAACGAATGCTGCTGGATCGTTTTTCGAACCTTGTGCACCTGTTAGTTTGCAGATGATCACAAGGTCAGTTCTGCTGGATGTGATGTATTTTCTGTGCTTTGACAGACGTACGCAGCTCGTCAGAGCACTCGGCCTGCGGTTCATCCCGACATGGAGCTGGTTCCTCAGCCGTCTGATCACAGCGCTCTGTGTGACTGCCACAGATCTCCAGAGGAGCAGAAGAACGAGCTCTGAGAACAGCTGCCTTCCCAAAACTCATTCAGTGACACCCAATCAGAATCAAGCAGGTCTGCTGGGAGCGACATGTTTAACAGAGAATTATGTGCATTAATCCCAGTTTTTCTCATTTTTACTTTCCCTTTTTTTTTTGCACCTGATTTCTGATGCCTGTTCGTTTACTTTACAGAACTGAGTTTGTTTGTCCCCCGCCCCCCTTGTATAACCTTCCTAGGCTTTATTCATGTGTAACAAGGTTGATGAATATCATTTGTCACATGAAAAGAGCCAGGGCCAGTTTTGTTGTAAACTTTCTAATGAATGCTTTAAATGAAGCACATGCATTATTTATATACATGCAATATTGCTGATTGTGCACAGAGAACATCAACATTCCTAACACTACAATATGTGTCCCTGGAGCACAAAAGCAGTCTTAAGTCGCTGGGGTATATTTGTAGCAATTGCCAAAAATACATTGTTTGGGTCAAAATTATCCATTTTTCTTTTATGCCAAAAATCATTAGGATATTAAGTAAAGATCATGTTTCATGAAGATATTTTGTAAATGTCATACTGTAAATATATCAAAACTTAATTTTTGATTAGTAATATGCATTGCTAAGAACTTCATTTGGACAACTTTAAAGATGATTTTCTCAATATTTTGATTTTTTTGCACCCTCAGATTCCAGATTTTCAAATAGTTGTATCTCAGCATAAATATTGTCCTATCCTAACAAACCATACATCAATGGAAAGCTATTTATTCAGCTTTCAGATAATGTATAAATCTCAATTTCGAAAAATGGACCCTTATGACAGGATTTGTGCTCCAGGGTCACATATCATACTGAAAATATCAAACATGCTTCAAAACATTGGGTTCTTTGCCGGCTGTGCCGATGATATAGACTAGAGCCTAAGCAGCTCTGATGCTGTGGAGTTTTTGACTCAAACCTCCGTCAAAAGTCTGTGAACAAAGTGAAGTCTGATTGAAATGACGTTTTATGCGCTTGCCTTAAGCTTTAACACATTCCATTGGTTTCCAGTGTTCGTTTGTGCCAGATCAGCTCGAGCTCATGGGAAAACATTACTACAGTATTTTACCATTTTGTATGAATTTGTGCTGTATGAATTATACAAAAATGTGATTTTTAGGAATAAAGCAAACATGACGGTCCACTCCTGCTACTATGAGCAGATTAGACAAAATTTCACAAATTCATACAAATTAGCCACCAGTTCGCCAAAATGTGAAATCTGCCATGAGATTGCGACGTATTCTATAAGACTTTTGAAAAACTCTATTTTGTTGTGATCTGGACATACTTTTGTATTAGTGTTTCTATGCATGCATTAAAGAAACTGTTCACCCAGAAATAAAAATTTGCTGAAGATACACCTGTAATGTTTTCTTCGAAGTCATTTTTATAAAAGTTGCTTAAATATCTTAATTTAACCAAGGCCTAGTCCTGGCTTAAGCTAAACCCCGTTGGGTGTTAAACTCACAAGGGGACTTCATGAAGGAATTCAGTCAGTTTACTTTAGTGTGCATCATCCCATAGAAATGGCATCCCCTTCTCTAAGTGCCCTTCAAGGCACAAAAACACTGGAATTCACCAGCTGTGAAAAAAAATACTCATGATGATGATCCACTACTTGAAAGGGGAAATACTGTAATTTCATGGTCCACCCGAGGACACCATAATTCATTGCAATTGAGCGCTGTGCATTAACAAAAGCCAGCAGCATTTTATTGTCTGGTCACCAAGAGATGAAAAAGCCACACGGTGGAGAACACACAAATTCACACTCAAACAGATGCATTCTTGATTCGACTCGCTCAGCTCACACAAAAACACCAACACGATTAATGGGTACAAAGAAAAGTGTGTATTGCAATTCAGTGCTTCTGTAACACGACTAACTGCAGCAAACGCTTCCTAGCTCATAAATACAGTGACAACAGTCTGGAGTCCACGGCAGAGATCTGGCTGATAGACTCAGCCTTTGAGTGAAGACATGCCGGCTCTCATGATCTCATCCACCAGGAGGATGTTACTGGCGATGACAGTGCTGCGCAGACGAGAGAGAGACAGATGCATGAGCCAAAAACACACTGACCTATGAAAACAGTGGCACTAGGGGTGTGCCATATTCAGGATTCATTCAGAAACCAAGCAAGCAACTGTCTCTATGAAAGGATGATTGAAAGAACTGTTGCTCTGAGAAACACAAACTGCTCCGGCTTCGTTTGAAACTATATCAATGGGTAAAACAGGAACAGCATTGTGTCTAAAACGTAACTTGCTCAATATTAACTTCATGTTTGCTGAACTGTTATATAAAATCAATACAGCATTCATGATCACGATCACGAAAACAGCGCTCGTGTGATATTACTTAACTATATCTTGTCTCAAATATATTAAAAACATTTTTGCTTTCATAAATTAAATTTAACAGGCTTCATCACGCAGTCAATGTGTTTTTTTTGCATATGCATACTCCATAATGTCAGCTGTTAAAACAAGTTATCATACTATTGTAGATGACAAATATTATAACTGGCACCCACACCAGTATGAAATACAGAAAAAGTATTTCAGAATTTGCTGAAGCAGGTTGTGAGGAGATCAGCTATAATGTTCATTAACAGGTCTACTCTTATTAAAAAAAATAATAAATTGAAAATCATTTCAGAACATTTTCAAAGTTTTTAAAATAACATTGCTACAACGTACTTTTTTTTGTTTAGAAACGAGCAATGTCTACGGTAGCATTCTAAACTGTAAAATGAACAAAAATATTACAGTTCAAATAATAGTTTTAACAAAAACAGATGTTTCACTAAAATAAACTTTTTACATTTTTAGCCTTCAACCCATTATTTAAGAAAAGGGGAAATCATAAATGATTATTATAAAGCGGAGCGTTCTGGTCCTTGACTCTGATTGGCTGAGCCGCGTTCGAAGCTGTTGTAAATTACTCTACAAAGTAACACACCTTTGTTTACGTTTGTCTGTTGCTCGGCAACCACTTTGTTGCAACCACAACTGTTTCCGAGGAGCTACATTGTTTGGTGGAAGAATACTGTTTTTATTCATATCATTACACTTTATTTGCTCTGTTTTATTTTGTGAAACCTTACTACGTATATGGAATAACCGTTTTATAAAAGCAATAAGCCCCGTGAAGCCGTGGTTTACAGTGAATTTATAACAGCTAAAGGGGTTTAGCTCCGCTTCACGTCGTGCCTAACACCTCTTAGCTGTTATAAATTCACCATAAACCACGGCTTCTAGGGGCTTACTGCTTTAATTTCTATATTGTAAGGTGTCTGACAGCAGGTGGCGCTCATGGAAAAGCAGAATTCAAGCCACTACTGCAATTATAAAGCTGCACGGTGATTATTACACAGAGACAGGCTGAAAGAAAACGCCATCAGTTCCCTTCAGAGAGTGTGTGGAGGACGCTTCACATGCAGAGACAGATCTATTGAGAAAGTGTTGGGCCGTCACGAGATCTGCTGGAACTCACCAGGAGTGAAGCAGCTGCTTTTTCACACTGTAGTTATCCCACACACCGACCTCTCCTGCAATCATGGGCTCACCTGCGCACACAACACACCACACTGATGCACACACAGGAGCACGAGCATCTCAAACAGCTTCACAGGTGCTGGGTTTTAACATGGAGGTAAATCTTACTTTTACATACACTGGTGCCTCCAAGTAAGACTCTTAGACACTAGAGTGCACTGCACTGCACAAAAACCTTACAGACAGTAATCTGAGTGTATAGCGAGACATGCCTGTGCTCAGATCCACTCCCACCAGCGCTCCCGTCTCTTTGAATTCACTCTGCAGCTTCACCAGAGTCTCTTGAGGATCATAGCCGGAGTTCTGAGCCAGAACCTTGGAGGAGGAGAGAAACTGGAGTCATTCAAAGACACCTTTAAACAAGAAGCTTGTCAACTCGCATGTAGGGCCCTGTGGAATCCCTTTTATTTTTTCCCAAATTCAGTTTTTTCTATTTAAATTTTTCTGGATTCCATTATTTTGTTTTTTGTTTTTCTGGACTCCTTTTTAATGGTTAAATTAAACTATCAAAAAGCATGTCTAATTTATTAAAATCATGAAACTTAATACAATTTAACATCAATATATTATATCAAGTACATTTTTAGGGCCCTATGAAATATGTTTTCTTTTCTTTTTGTTATTGTTACCAAATTCTGTTTAAGCATGTCTAAGTATTTGAATGCATGAAACAACTTAATTTATTAAAATGTATTTTTTTTACAATAGTCCTATAAAATGTTTAGTTTTTTCCAGAAATTCTGTGTTGTGTTTTTACATTTTTCTGTTTATCAGATGGAGGCATAAAACTGTAATTTAATTAATCTTTTAATCAAATGAAAACAAACTTTGTTTTTGGCAAGCAGTTTTAACACTATTAAATTCAAACATGGGAGAAATATTGTGTGATTATTCCTTAAATAATTTTTTTTATTTATTAGTAGTAGCCCTAATGCACATTGGGCTCTAGAGGCAGAAACACAGCCGTTACCCCGGTAACCCTGTAAACAAAGCAGCTGCCGTTATCCCGGTAACCCTGTAAACAAAGCAGCTGCCGTTACCCCGGTAACCCTGTAAACAAAGCAGCTACGCTACTTTCTGAACTGTGTCAATGTTTCAAAGTCATTTAGATATTTATATTCGCTTTAGTCTTCACCATAGCACCAAATAATTAATACTTACACACCCAAGCTATTTATTTTCAAACTTAAACATTTTTTTTAATCTAACCTAAAACATGGCCTATGTATTGACTGATTCGTTATTATTGTTCGGTAACACTTAACAGGTTCCATTAACATTAATAAACTACATTAGTAGAAATAACAACGACCGCATTTATTATTCTTAGTTCATGTTCATTTCAACTTTTAATAATACATTATAAAATCAAAAGTTGTCTGCTAATATTATTCAATGGAGCTAACATTAACAAAAATTGTTGTATTTTTATTAAACAACATTAACAAAGAATATTAACTACTGCAACAATTCGCTATTGCACATTGTTCGTTAATGTTAACCTGCTTTAACTAATGTTAATTAAATTGTTACCTATTGTTCTTTCATTCATTTGAACTTTAATCTTTTGCACCCTAATCTTGAAACACTTGTTTACTTCATATGCTATTTCTGTGCATTTAAAAAAAAAATAGTCTCTTTAGTAAGAGATCTTTAATAAAGTTATTTAACCTGTTAGGAGGACAACACTTTTTTTACTTACTAAATTATATATTGTGATAAAACCATACATCATGACTAGGGCTGGGTATCAAGTTCGATACTTTTTAGGCACCGATCGAATTGCCTCGATACCATCGAGTATCGAAAAACGTCTCGTCGTTCGGTACCAAATTTCGATACCTAAGGGGTTAATCTCATCAGCGTCAGTGAGCCAATATGCCTTCAACACACGACAGATCGATCAGTGTTTGACATCCGCGAGAGCGATTCGAAAGCGCACGTAGCAGTCTGCACTCTTTAGCTCTCATGGTACTGTAATACACTGATCGGTCTGCACAGTCGGTCCGCGTCAAGTCAAACACACCTGCTAGTTAACACCGGTTACACTCAGAGATGTGGCGCACACGTGAGGCTGTAGTGCTAATGCGTCCCAGCCCCCTTAGATGTAAGGCTACATTTACACTGGTGCGTTTATGTTCTAAAATGAAAACGATCCTCGTCATACTGGCGTTTCCACTGCGTTTCAAGCCGGCTTTCCACCATCTCCGACAAACGACAAGCGACAGACCGGTCATTCATTTCCAATGGAGAATAGCGCGGGCGCTG